AGTTGGTATTGGAAATGAATCTTTAGTTGTTATCGAATTAAGTTTCCTATAATCTACCACAAATCGATAATCACCATCTTTTTTTTTGATCAATAACACGGGTGACGACCATGGAGAAGATGATGGTCGAATTTGATTCGATCGTTCAAGTTGAACAATTATTTTTTTTAATGCTTGTTGTTGTTGTAATGAACCTCTATAAGGAACCGAGTTAATTGGTGGATGATCACCTGTTGGTATTGTATGATGAATTGATGTAAGTGCTATTGTTGGTGAAGACGTATCAAAAACTTTTCGATATCGTTGTATAACTTGTCGTGTTTCAATTCTTTTTTGTAAGTCAATGATATGTTGTACCACTTGGTCGAGAGTTTTTTCAATGTCAATAATAATGGATAACGTCCGTTCTGTTGAATTATTAATTGTATTAACACACAATGATGTTTCAGGTACAAGTTGACTTGCTATAGATTTATAACGTTTATGAAATTGATAATCATGATCAACACAAGAAGTTTTATCATTTGATACAACAGATGGTGATGAATCCAATATTTCAACAAATCTTTTGTTATTATCTTCTTCTAAATTTTTAATAACTGGTTCAGCTTCATTAACAACTTGATCGGCTTGTGTTAAAAAAGATATAAATCCTAGATTTGTATCACATGATAAATATATAGGAAGATCATTTGTATTAGTAATAGCTAATTTTGTTAAGTAGTTTTGTATTCGAATAAATTCTTGTGTCAAAAAAATTTTTTTTCTTGCTTGTAGACATAAATCAGGTGAAAATAATACTTTTGTTGCTGTTGATATAGTGGTAAATGCTTCAACAATTTGTTTTGTACGTGGTGGAATGGAAATAGAATGTTGAAGTTTAACAGGAATTAAATGGTTTTTAAATGATGTTCGAAGAGGTACTGCAGCTTTATTTCCTAGAATTTCAATTCTATCTTTAAAACGATTTATTGTTACCTGATAAGATTTAATCCAATCTTCACCTAATATAACATCACAACATAATGTTTTCGTAACTGCTGCTGTTACATATGTTCGAATATGTAGAAATTTTATTTCCAAAGTTACATATCCAATGATAGAGATTGATGTTTTATTTGCCAAAAAAAATTGATGTTGTATCGGATAAAATTGTTGATGTTGTATTTTGGAAAGTGATGATTGCTGGATGATGCTATTGGTTGCTCCCGTATCCACAAG